CTTAGAATCCTGTATTTTCTTTAGTATTCAAAATGTGTCATGAGAAGTGTGATAGATTTTTAACCTTTTTCTCACATTTGGAGAAACAAGTTAAACATTCATCACCTCAAAACATCCCACCAGAATGTAGGGTGTCAATGACATGGTATTGCTGATAAGCACTATGAATATGAGTGTTTCATTCTTTCACACCAAGCTCTACAATAATATGTGCTCTTGGTTTGCATAAGCATGTATAAATCCTTATGAAAGTAGTTTCAAGAAAGCATCTTTTGTAAAATTAGTGATAGACAGATGTTCACCATGCACATTGGCCAAAATGCCCATATAATGGCAGCTGTACCACTGAGTTCTGCACTGGCTTGTTTTACTGCCTGGAATGCAGTGACCAGCAGGACTCAAGAGGGAGGTTATCACAATCAGCCAAAGAAGAATATGTGTTATACTACTGATATTAAATTGGAACTTGCCCTGACTTTAGTCCAACAGTAAGACTTTCTTAGTCAAAGAGAGTAAAGCATGTCATATCCCACCTAAGAGAGGCACAACAGAAGTGAGAAATGGGAGACAGTCACATAAACTAGATGAAATGAATTTATTCCCATACTTGTCAAATCTCCAGAACTACCAACTTGAAGCAGGTGATACCACCCAGGACAATTCAGTCCCTTCTCTAACATCTGCTGGCTTACTACAAGAACATGATAATCAAATAAATAGTACACAATCTCGGTATTCCATTTTAAAATCAACAACAGTTTAGCATATTCTCCATTTCTGACCTGAATTTTATTTACTTATTTCATACAAAGTATAATAATTTAAACAGAAGGGAGGGAACCTTTTCCATGGCTTTTGGGCATAAAGCTGTCAGAACATTCTGAATACCTACTGAATTTTACTTCACAGGTAAAATAGAGAAGTCATCAGTTCACATATCTTGATGGAGTTTAGGCATATGCTGCATTATAGGCATTTGCAGAAATGCATATTCAGATTAGGGAAAATTACCTTGGAAATTGTCTCCTATGAATTGGAAGCAAATGAATGAGGATTTTTATGGTCTAAGTCTAGGATTTAGGTACCCCTCACAATGACTATAAAGTCAACTGTGGATCTAATCTCTTGTATATTTTTCCTTTATGTGTCCTTTGATTTTACTCTTAATAGATTCTTCAGTGATAAGGAAGTTTTAAGTACTCAAGGGTGAGTATGCTTAAGGCTTAATTACAGTTTGATGTGACATTTCACTGTGTTGCAAACTCTCACGGCAGGAACAATACAGCGAAGACCATAATCTGGTCTAAATTATCTTTTTAAAAACTTCCTGAAACTTATATAAACAGTTTTGCTGTCAGTGGAAGTTGTTTCAGATGCACTTAATCTTAATTAACACATCATAAATGGTGGGTTATTTAATTTTCTTTGTCTTATTCTTTAAGTCCTTTTCCATGAGCCATGCTTTGAGCATGCAGTGTTGCTCGTTCTCTTGGAAAAATAACAAAAAGTCTAGTAGCTATCTGTTGCTTCATTTTGCATGAAAACAGGAACAAAAGTTATGGATGATGTCTTCTCAAGCTACAGAGTTCTAAGAGTTATATTTACCTATCCAGTAAATATAAGGAGTTTCCAGGTAAAACATTCCTGAGTATATGTAGTTCTTCCCTCCTTCAGTAATCAATGATGTTAGAACAACCTGTAAAGAACATAAGTGCTTGATGACATTCACCAGGCCTTGCTACTCCGAAGACTGATCACAGAGTGATGTCATTAAAATGAATAATACCATTTAAATCAGAAGAAAGAATCAGTGATATCAGCAACAAGCCTCTATCTCTAGACATAATGGTTTTGACTTGTCTTTAGCTGCTATCTTCTTGATAGTCTTCTCAGAGGCCAAGATAACTATGTTTGTATTTATTTATTGATTTTTGCTTTTCTGATTATTGATTTTTCTTCCTGGGAATTTGAGAAGCCTCCTAATACAAAATATCTTCATTCTAAGCTACAAGCAGGTCTAAGAAGCTGTCCAAGGGGTAAGTCGAGAAGCCAGGTTCTGTCAGCACTGGTGGCTGCAGTTGCATGCCCAATTCGAAACTGCTCAGAGAGCGTGTGCTGGTTTAGGAAACTGTGTACACAGTTCTGCAGGACCTAACTGCTGATAGAGTGAATGACTGAAATGGGACTGTAGGCTGGGAAAGGTGAAGTTTTATTCACCTGATGGTTGTTTATCATTGTTAGAGTTATTAAAATAAAAATAGTTATTTTGGAACTATTTTTCAAATTAAGTTACAGTTAAAGAATATAAGATACACTTCCCATATGTTTTAAAGAACAATGAAAAAAACTTAATAAAGGCAAATGTTAAATGGCAGATCTTTGGCAGACAAAGACTTGCGATTGCAAAATCTGAATGTTTTTAACTTAATACATTGTAAAACTAATGCAGTAATTCACTAAATTAACAGATAAATTTCTAACACTTGGATTCTTTAAAGCGTAACCTATTTTTGAGTATTAATCTTTAAAAAAATACTGATTTTTTTATATATATACTTATGGCAATATTAAAACATTACTGCCCTGTCTGTTCTTGCAAAATAAACAGGCGTGTGTGCTGTCAGACAGGTTTATAGTTCCCTGACAGATGATACCAATATGTATTTGAAAACTCACTCTCTTATTTTTGGAAATTACCTTTGATAAAAGCTTAATCTCTACATAAAGTATATATTTGTATTTTGTTCATAGTTTGGAAATGAAATTAGATGTTAGTACTACCTCTTTCTCCAGTGGATGTAACTGACTTGATTTAACCTCAGAAATATATTTTAGTGGTTTGGTTTTTTTTTTTTTAAGCTTACCTTAATTTTACTTGAGTTTAACTCAAGCTAAGGCAGTGTGTCTGCTTATATGTTTAGAGATTTTTTTTTTTCTGAAAGCAATACAAGTCCATAGCATTTTAGTGCCTCAGTTGCAGGTAATTTGCTGTATTTTAAAATAAGTATCTCTTAAATGGTTTACAAAAACTGATTGGAGCAAGTGAAACCAATATAGTATCTACCTCGATGTTAACCCATGGACTACACTGAGGCTAAAGTGTTCTGTGACTTGGTAGCTCTCTGCATCCAAAGTGCTAGACAGGGTGCAGGCTGGTGAAAAGCACATCCATCCTATGAAGGCAACCTGAGCTTAAAAATACTATCTATCCTTAAAAATGGCATTATCCTTTGGGGAAGGATCCTGTAACCCCATTTCATCTGTCTTCACAGTGTTGTCAAGCATGGAGGAGGGTATGTCTGTGCTAAGGAAGAGCAGGGAACTCAAAGGTTTTGTGGTATGTTTAAAAAGTCTCCTTACTGGCCCTTGAGCCCTGGATTTTTTTCTCTCATAGCATGAATGACATGCGAAAATAAACTCAATTGCAAGGCTGAATTTAGTTCCAAAATGCTGTGCTGGACATTGTTGAGGACTGGGTGAGTGCACTTTTAGACAGTAGGGATAGTATCGAGCATCCAGCAGAATTACAGCTTGGGGTTTTTTACAGGGAGAGTGATATTATAAACCGTCTTTTATGTTTCAAGTGTAATATGCTACGGTGATTTATACATCTGTTATTTTTTTGGAAGTTTGCTTTGGGGAGGTCTCAATTGCAATACTTTTTATTATTATTATTTGCTTGGACAGATTGGATTTGCAAACTTGGAATGTGAAGTTTCAGACTTCTTTTTAACACTTGCTTTCATGTATGTGTAGTGAAGAGAATCGCTAAGCATCTAAAACCAGATTAATCCCTATGTTGGCATGATTATTTAAAGTAGAGAGAAGAAAGAGGTCTTAATGATAGAGAGGAAAGCTATGCTATTATTAGTGAGAGATTGGATATAAAAGAGAAATGGAAGGGTTAGAGTTAACAGTTATATGTGAGAAAGGCTGACAGGGAAATACAGATAATCTTATGGGGAGACTGAGATATGGTCCAGAAATGTAAGAGAAGTGATTTAAGTTGAGAAAGGGGGCAAAGGGGAAGAGTTCAATGACCACATATGGCTGATTATAAATGTAGAAAAAGGATAAAAAATTTGCTGAAACTCAGCTGAAAGGTCAGTGTCTGTCAGGAATGGATACAGTATCCTTACCCAGGAGAAATATCTGAATACAAAAAATGTAATTTTCATGACAGAGTCTTGCTCAGAAGAACAGGGAATAAATGGTAATACACAATTAACAGAGATTTCTGTAGTTTTTCTCCAGAAGTAGAAATGCTTACACAAAAGAGCAAAGCATTGTGTTTTAAGATTTTTTTTTCCTAGAATGTGCTATGCTTTGTATTTCAATAATTCTCAAGATGAAGTAAGGTCCCTGATTCATAGCTTCAGACTACAGATAAAATATAATTTTTTTTAATTATAAATTAGTGAAATTTTAGAAACTTTTATTGTAAAATTGGTGACTTCTTAATGCTTTCTACTGTTCACATTTCATTAAAACATTTGCAGATGAAAATATAGATGAGTCCAGATATGTATTTTATAAAAATGTTTTATCTATCCAGAGCTTTTAAGAACTCTAATGTAATCTAGAGTCTTAAACCTGTATTAAACTGGTCTAATTTTATTAGTTCTTATTAGCTAGTAATATTAATTAATTTTAAATAATTAAATACCTGGTCCATTTGATCTTATTATTTCATCACTCAATCAGAAGGTTGTCCTGTGTTCTTTCTCAGAAGTTTTATCTGCAATGCAAAATGAAAAAAGAAAAAGAGCAAAAGGAAGCTATTAAATAAATTATCAACTATTACTTTCATTTTTTTCAAGAAAGATCCAATAATATTAAGAGTTATTACTATATTGTATTTTCTAAATTGAAAATTTCTGAAAATTCTGAATTGACCACTTTTAAACTTTTCTACTTAACAGCAACCTTTTGTACCTCCAAAGAATGCAAAATTAAATAATATTTTATAAATTACGTAATCTTTAAAGAATAAATTCTTAAATTAAATATAAAATAAATAATATTTAAAAGAACATAGTCTATTCCTCAGGATAATATCTTGATGAGCTTACATAAATGATTCCATTCCTGTCTTTTGGCATAGATGTGATAGCTGGTTATACTTCAAAAAAAATCACACAGAGAGAGAGAGATGTTAAAATTCAAGGGCATCTGGAGTTGTCACTGAGATCTAAAGACTAAAAATGAGAATACTGAAAGCAACCCTAACACTAAGCCTTTCAAGATGATACAGTACATATGCAAGATTTCAGGCTGGTCTTTCAAATAGAAGTAAGAGAACTGATTTACTATCAACTTGTTCAACGTGAATTAAACAAACATGTCAGCAGACTAACAATATTCATACTGTAAATAGTATGTCCTTCTGGTAATACAGGTAGAGAGGGTTTACTCTGCATAATTTATGGTCTCCATACAGTACAATATTGAAAGAGTACAGAAACTGTTGTAAATTCCTGATGAAATGCAAGCCTAAGTCTGTTTACCATTAAATGTGATTTACTGCAGTTACATGCGTTCCTCCTCTCCTACCCACCTTGTAAGTTTTGTACAAGGTATAGGGGTTTTAGACAAATAACAATAAAAGCTTTTTACTCAGAATTAGTGCAGAATAACTTGTATATAGAATTATCATCTATCTTGTTAGATCTTTTAAGCTGTATAGCCTATTTTTAGATATTTTAAGAACAGTAAATTAAGATATAAAGTGAAGACAAAAATCTCAAGATCATTATCAAATAACACATCAAAACTGAAAATAGTGTAGACCTATCAGCTGCTTTATATAATATATGCAAGGAAGACCTGTTATACAGATTAATTTGTGACAGTATGGAGATAAACAGAATCACATTTTATCACACAGAATGGAAGTCTGTATCCAATACTAATGGTAATAATCATGATGTTTGTGTTGTTGTATAAAATGCATTTTTAAAACATTATTATCACAGAAAGCAGAATTGGAAAGCCTGATAATCATAAAATGTTATCAACTGCTTGTATGTATTATTGTACACATCTCCATAACTTTAAGAATGGTTAACTAGTCACTTTGCTCAGACATAAATTTATTTGAGGTAACTTTTACAAGTCAGGACTTTACTTTTTCTAAATCTTAGTTTTACTTAGTGATTAGCATAACTTATGTCCAGAAGTTTTCAACATTTCCTCGTTCCAGATTTGGTTTGTTCTTCCCCCCACTGCCTCTCTTCTGTTTGAGCTGGGGTAGCAATTTTAAAGCTTATTTTGGGAGCTTTACCTACAGTATTTCTTCTCAAGTCTTCATAGAAGTTTGCTCTTTAATTGATTTCTTAAGGTATTTTACGCTTCCTTCAAGCAGCTGACCTATAGACATGGATGCCTGGATTCTTACCAATACTGAATTGAAGTTTGATCGTTAGCCTCTTGCTATTATGTGACATTGCCAATTTAGACACTGATGATTTGCATGACTACAAATCAAACCGATGGGAATTGTGGGTTGTTAAGTTGTATATCAGTGTTAATTGTCATCCAAAGTTCTACCTGAAGCAATATAGTAATAAGGACATTCCTCAGTATTTGCATGCCTAAACTTCACTCTGTTGGCCTATTTGGATAACAAATAGCCATCCTCTGAGGAAGAACAATGAGCATACTAGGCATACAGTGGAAAGTGCTGTTTCTCATCCTGTTAGACTGCCTCAACCCATGATGGGAACTGAGTAATTCAAAGCAACTTTCCCTCCTTTAAGGAACTATGATATCCAAATATCAAGAACCTAGAAAAGCAACTTCTCCTAACCAACCTTCTAGGATATAATAACTACTTCATTAATAACTTCATTAATAACTTTTAAAAACACCTGCTTAGAACCAGCACGGATGTCTACAATTATATTTACAGATCTGCCCACTCCTTTCACAAAAATCTTGCTTTGCAGCTTTGCTTGTTCCACTTCTGCACCCAACAAATTTTCCATACTTTAACAGTCCGATATATTTTAATTTTGAATAGATTGCTCTTCCCATGCAAGTTAAAAATCTTACTTCTTTTTAGAATTGCGGATATTCAATTTCACATTTTCTTAAAAAAAGAGAATTTTTTAATGTAGAGACTATGTCAATCCACACCAGACTGGTATAAGTTCTTTTATCTCCTTATTGGAATACAAATTGCTTTTTTTCCCCTTCAAAATATTTTTGCGTACACATACATTGACCAGCTATATGAAAGAGTAAAGCGCATCAAAGCATTTTGAATTATTTAGCTGTAAAATTTACAGTGTAGTTTGTTATACTAACCAAAACGCAGTGTTGTTATTTCCACTTTTATACTAACAACTTTGAATAGACATTACTTTATCTTATTCCTTAGGAATATTAACAAGAAATAAAAGAGAAGGTGAATATATTGGAATGCGAGTAGTTGCTGCTGTGCTTTAAACATAGTCCTTATCCTTAGGCAATGTACAGGATCTCCAATGTTTTCATTAGTTCTTAATTGTACTTGTTTTGCTAGTTTCATTCTAGAGGCAGAAATATCACTGGTCATGAAAACTCCAGTATAACTGTTTCTATTTCAAATGACATACACAAAAGGTATGAGACAATGTCTGTAGTCTTCCTTTCCTAAAAGTGCTTTCTCCTAATCACCTTTTCCTCTGTTAAAAACCCTGAAAATAAAGCTGAATCCGAGTTCCTTTTCAGCCAGATGATTAAACATTCTCACTATTATATAATACAATTTCCATTTTATTTTAAACATACTTTGCATGATATAAAAATATTGATCACAGTGAGCTTTAACAATTGTTACTGCTATAAACAGAAATGCTGCACGATGGTTTTAGTGGAAATAAATTATATAGTCATTATCTCTTAAAAAAATCACAAGAAGGAGAACCTAGGCTGTTTGGTCATTGGCAGAAAATAAGTTCTTATTGAGTTCTTTACAAAACATGAACCCCAGTTATCTTCTACATTTGCTTTCCACATCTTGAGAAAAGCATGAGTCTGTCTCTGAAAGCCCCACAGGGTCTCTGGTGAACATTTAATTCCAAATATTAGCAAAGTTTCTGTTCTTCTTTTGTTCTAATGGAAAAATGTACACCAACATAGCAAGTAGTGATCTCTTCACTAATTCATAAGTGGTCTTTTCCAATATGTGGGTACACAGCGGCACACTTCTTCACTAAAGTAAAATCCAGCATCACAGCGTTTCGTTCGGACTGTACATGGTGGTCGGTAACAGCTAAAGAAATGAAAAAAGTGGATATTAATATAATATGATCATTTATATTTGCCTGGAGTAGAAATCTGTGTGCCTTTACATTGCCATTTCCCAATGTGATATTTAATTCCTACAAATACATATATTTTAACCTCTTTTTATGTTCTTTGCACTAATTTTAGTTGGACTACTCTTCACAAAAGACACTGAAAGAATAATGAATGCTACTGAAGAGAAATAATTCTATTGTCACAGATACACATGAGTATTTTTTACCACATTGACTGGTTGTAGTCACACTAATCTTGAGCAGTGTTTCCTTAAATTTAATTTTGAAAATCAGATATTTTTCTGTACTCAAATTGGGTTGTTATGACCTACTGCATGCTGCAAGTTTGAGTTGATGATCCAGAATCACGTAATAATCAAATCTATCATCTACTCTCCCAGGACTGTTTCTCACCTTATTCATTATTGCAATAAGCCTGAGAGATTTGTCTACATATATTACACTGTGACTCTGATCTTGAAAATGAGACCATATTTTCTTTCAAGCTGCAAATTCCCATAGCCAGTCTCCAAGTGGGAATGTATCTACACTTCATATTGTATCTGTGTGCATTCTGAAGAAAAATCAGAGCCTATTTATCATGTTTCTGATAAATATTACTGGAAATGGACAGAATTAGTACCTACTTGATTAAAATAAGTTTGACAGAAATAGAACATTGAACCACAAATAACATGTACCGAAGGAGCAGCAGAATTTTTCTTCCATCAATTCCTTGACTGAAAAATAGAACTTATACAAAGATAGTATCTGTGGTTGTCCCTGAACCCTTCCTTTTCCTATTTTACTTTTCTATTAAAACAAGAACTTGACCTAAAATAACCCTACAATAACAATGATGAATACTTTCTGGTGTATAATGGAGACAAAGTACAAGTCTGGGTTTTTTTTTCCTACACTGGCAATGAGTCAAAAGACAAAAGTATATGTTTTGAATTTCATCACAGTTATACTTAAAACTTGTACTTAAATAAGTTGCCGATAAGTTAGAAATGCTGGATGCTTGCTTTGGATACCAAGTTACTACTTCACAATAATTTGTTTACGATATGAGGTCTGCATTACGATTACATTAATTCACTCCAGCTAGTTCAACCAATGAATCTGGCTATGAGGAAAACAATAAGGAATGAGGAAGACTGCAAACATGACATTTATTAACTAGTCACATCTTGTTCAGTGTTTTCAATGTCATTTATCATAGATTAGTTCACCAGTGTGGTCTCTGTAATTAAGGGAGAAACATTATTTTGTGCCACTTCATATAGATACTTGAAATCAGTGTAGCAGCTCATGGGAATGTCTCAAAGCTCTATTCATCTTTTCCCCAAAAAGTTTGTAAATGGTGGTAAAAGGCAACAAAATGGTTTGCAAAAGGATCTAATTGTGAGCAAACAGGCAGCCAGCAGTAGGTTTGTTCTGGGGAAAAAGGTACTCCACAGATATGGAATGGATAAAATACTGAACTCACCTTTTTGCCTATCTCTGTCATGCAAGTTCAGACCATTTCATGTACTGAATGACAGCAAAATGAAATAAGATAAGAAGAAAAAGAGGCAAAGCCAAACTCTTCCACACACCTATGATTGTACATAATGTAAAGCAGTCACACAGACATTAAGTATGAGGAGTTCAGTTTGTTTAGAATTCATGCTTCCTTGTGAACTTCAACTTACAAAGGAGAGTGCTATATAGCATCTCTCCCATGTGATTTTATGTCTAGCAGCAGTTAAGGTCAGGTTACTGCAGTCTTATCCTTACTTGGGACTTTTCAACTGAACAAGAAAGTCCCTATCCTCCTCTAAAATGCTTTGCAGCTGAAGTGCCTAGTTATCTGACCCTACCAAAACTGACCAAAAATAAATTTTTGAGATGGCAGCACAGGGTGAATAGTGGTAGAGTCATTGTAACTACATAAATGTGGTTTCCTTAGGAAACTGCTGAACAATAGACCTGCTCTTTCAAAAGATTTGGGCTGAATGCTGTTTACAGGGCGTTTTCATGTGACAGATGTCTGCTTTGATGAGGATAATCTGAGCATGCTGGAACTAAGACAGATGTTCAATCACTATACACAGTTCTGGGCAAGTCAGCAGCAACTTTCTCTTTGTGGTCAGTAATTGCGATTTTTTGCTGCAGAATGCCCAGACTCTCATTGGGGCAGTCTTAACAACAACACAGATGAAACAAGTAGAAATGCTACTTCTAGAGCTGCTAACAGTGTCATCAGCTTTAAAGTCAGTATGCTTTTTTTCCCTCCCCTTTTTATCTTTCATCCTGTGCTTTGTATTTGTAGATGACTTTTTATTCCTTTTCTCTGAAACAAGGCATAACCCTAGGCAGAGGGATTTTAGATACAGTGCATGAAAGTATTGGTGCTTCAAAACCAGAAGCTGCAAGGATTACTTCTCTCCACAGGGAGCTGCCTAGGTCACAGCTACAGGATTCTGCTCATGTCTAGGGCTCAGGCATCTTGCACAAAGCTATAGAGTGGTATCTCTATTTTTGTGGTCTCAGGACAGCAAGGGATCTTTCAAAGACAAACAGGATGTCACAGAATTTTTATTCCTTTTTGAGTTAGGTTGTGCTGGACAGAGCCAAAACGTGAGAAACCTATGCTAAGTCCCTTCTTAAGCAGGAGAGATTGTATCTGCTATTTTCCTTGACAGTGCTAACCTCTACAGGACTATTGGTTGTAGATGTATAGAGTAACACCATAAACAAATATTTCCTTCTGCACACAAACTGCTTAGAAAAGAGAAACAGCTAAAAATATCCTATATCACACTGTCCTCAGAAGTGAGAAAGGGATTCAAACTGTATTATATTCAATCACAACATAACAGAGAAAAGATGAACTCAATTTCCTCTTTCAAATACTAAGTCTTTAAAAAAAATACATATTTCTTATGGCATTTCTTAGCTTTTTAAATGCCTGACTTCTCCAGTTATGAATGTTCTTTTAAAGTGCACATGGTTTATATTTGTTGCTGGAAGTGCACACTAGAGTAGTGCCAAGGCTTTGCAATATGTAAAGCTTACGTAATCAGGTTGTCTTCTTTTCCTCTGCAAACATAAAATTGAAATTATATGAGTTGAATGATAGAGAAGAAGTTATTTCTGATGTTTAACAACTCTAATATTTCAGTCAAAAGCCCAAATGTAGAATAATAGGTAATGCTCATTACTATTAATATTCCCCTATTTTAGTGACTTCAACACGTGTCATTCCTAAGAGTAGACATTTTTTCATTAAGATAAACTAATGTATATGTGGCAATATATTTACTCCAACTAATTACGTTATATTAAAAATTACAGAAGATTTTTTGATAAGTAACATATTGCTATACATTTAAATGTCCCAATTTGCTATTTTCCATTTCCAGTGCCTTAACAGTTGTTTGTTATTGATATAATAGAAATAATTCACCTTATTTAACAAATAAGTGATCTTTCTGCTCCAAACTGCATTGTTTCTGCTTTAAGAAATTTACAAGAGAACTGACTTTACAGTATAACTTTTGTCACATAATATAAAAGCAGAAATAACACTTTTTGTTTCTCAGAACCTAAAGTCATCCACATTTATATATACGGACTGCTAATATTATGAGTGTAGCAGTCATGGAAGGAAAAGGTCCTGTGACATATAAAGAAATTGCAGTTTTCTTCTTGACTAAATCTCATTTTAAATGATGGATGCAGGCAGTCTGTTTTATAGTTACATATGTCCACTTTTCACAGAAATCACCCAGAGCTGGGTGATTCCAAAATTTATGAAGTGAAAATGAATGATGGTATCTCCAGAACTAAGGCCTGAAATCTAACTAGGAATATCTGAGTTATTTGAATATTTGAGTTACTTAAATTGGAATATTCAGTTCTTGGGAAAAATAGAGTGGGACTTTAAATAATATAGAAGACAGGGAGCTTGAACTTACACTTAATTTTTGCGAAAAGGAAAAAAAATCACATGCTGTAGTAGTAGCAAGAGTACAAGAAACTAAATACGCTTTAAAATACTTATTATGCCTTGTAGTTACCTTTTAAGAGTTTATAAAAGTCAGAGAAGATAAAACTGAACTGAAGACAGGCTTACTGTTTACTTAAGACTACAAAGCAATTCAACAGCCAGCTAATGTCACAACGCAGAATTTTATGCCTTAAACACAATGAAAGAACTAAAGACTGAGTTTTTACCTGCATGTCTGGTGGTGGAACCTTTTTCCTTTTAAGAAGCATTTATTGGGAGATTCTATACATTCACAGATGCATTTTGCAGGATTTAGAGGTTGATGTTTAGGACAGGTCTTTTTACATAGACACTGGCACTTTTCTTCATCAAATTCCTTGTTGGGCCCACAGGAAGCAGGGATAAGTTTGTTTTTGCACATACACTGACATGATGATCTGTCTAATTCTTTGTGAGGTCCACAGCTTGAGGGCCTCATGCCTCCTTTGCAGACACATTGACAGGTTTCTTCATCCAGCTCTTTGTTTGGTCCACAAATATGGAATCCTTCAGATGTATCTAGAAATATAGCAGAGAAGTTGCACTATTACCAGAATTTTGTGTCTATCCACTCACCCAGTTTTATATGAAGAAATGACAGCAAATCCATACCTTTTAAGATGTTTCAAGAACAAGTACATGCCAAAAGACAGGCAATACAGAGTAATATTATCAATACAGAAAAAGATACAACTAATTACTTCTTCTTCGTTTTTAATTTCTCCTTTAGTTGAATCAAAATGAATCAAAACATTCAGTCTTATAAGAAAAAGTGCTTACCAGAATTTCCAAGGTGAGAAGAGAAACCAAAATCATGCTGCGACAAACATCTGCAAATTTGATTATTCCAAATATGATTTTTTGGACAGGTTTTGTTTGCCACGTGACACCTGTGAAATTAAATATGCTGTTCATTTACTACCATAAGAATTCAACAGGAAAAAGAATAGTTTCTAGGTGTTGATTGCTTTAGTTTCTCTCCACTAAAAATATCTCTCTAAGAGTGTCACCTCATTAATAATCTTATTTTTTACTCCTATCAAATCTGTTACTCTTTAAGGTTCTTCCCAATACAGGGACTTCCAACCATTTGTTGAAGAAACCACCTCACATTTCAAGTTTCAGCTATAACTTCTAGAAGCTGATATTTGTACTTTGCTAATGCAGTTTGGAAACAGATCTAATCCTGGAATATAAGCCTCATCTAGAAAATAAAAAAATATAAAAAATATGCCAAACACAGCATAGTGGTAACAACATTTTTTATGTTGCATTTTGAAGTACAAAAATGTTTTCACACATAAGATAGCAGATAATAGTTTCTGAATGAATGCTGTAGACAAAACTGTGATTTAAAAAATACAGTTTATCAGATTCTTTTCCCCTTTATGCGAAAGTTATGTGTCATTAACTGACACTTTCTCATTAATCATTCAAATTCTAGACAGGTTTCTTGAACCTAAAGATATGGATGTCAGCAGTGATGGCTCTTCACTTTGGAAATAAAAGACAATAAAGAAGTTAACTCTTTCTCTGCTCTTTATCTGCTACAGTTTTGCAGCCAAGGTAATTATACCCAAAAAAAGCAAAAAATTCAAGCAGCAGCTGTTGCCTTTTTAAAGACTGAGTGAACTGAGCTAGTGGGTGAGCCACAGATAGAACGTTTATGTGTATTATCCCATCTTCCTTGCTTGCAATTTCTTTATCACCAGAGCTGACATTACCACTTTGATACACCTCATGTATCCAAGCTGTGTCATTTATTCATTGTTTCTGTAGTATTTCTAAAATCCTCCTAATCTGTTAAGGCAACGCAAATATTACACATCTGATGCACTTTTCTTTCCCCGGAGCACCATAACTCATGCATTCAAAAATACAGGTGCTGGGACATTCTGTGATCTTCATTCAAGTACACCACTCTCCTCCAACACATTAAACCACTCTGATTGTAAAGGCTGCTGTAATTTAACATCACACTGCATCGCCTCATGTTTTATCAAACTGGTGTTTTCTGATTTCATTCCACTAATGTTCTCACTCTTGCTCCCTCACTTGGCACATTTCCTTTAGCCTGCCTCCTGATTCTGCTCGAGAAATAGTAAAGATAATTTACAGACATATTACTCTATTCTGTTAAAAAAAAATAAAATTAAAGAACCAAAAAAACCCCACACTCACACTTGGAGCAGCCTGGCTCTAGCTGGGAGTGTTTAAAACTAATTAGAGAAGGAAACCAAGGTGACAGTATGAAGAAAACACCAAGCGCATGTGAATGCATGAGCAATGTTGATACAAAGCCCAAATTACCAGAACTTGAAAAGAATTAAATGAATTTCAGTATCAGGGTTGGAGACACCCAGCAAAAGGAATGGAGCTGCTTGTTTACAAGTTCTACTCTGGTTTCTAGGACAGACAATTTAAAAAAATTTAAAATGACATTTTAGAAAAGTTCAGGAAGGCTAGAAAAAAATAATCAGATGCAAAACCACTTTGCAGAAAATGTCATCACCTCTTTTTGTATTAGTGTCCACTCAACTGAAAAAAAAAAAATCTTGAGACAAAGAGGTAATTGTAGAGACTTGATCTGAATTATGTATCTTGAAGTCCTTTCTGTTTTGCCCTACCTCTAATCACCAAACTTCAAAAATAGGGTGACAATTTTGTAACTCAGGTGCATGTCTTGACGACATTCCATATAAATGGAGTAGAGTACTACTTAAGATACCATTATTCCAGGATGTGTTCTGAAACACTGGGCTAATACCAACTGACATGCCTCTGTTCCACAAATACGTAGAAACAGCTATTAGTTTTTAGAAGGGGGGAAAGAAAGGAAAAAAGTGGGAGAACAGGCAAAGACCTAGACCTTAATTCTCAGGATAAAGTCATGGAGAAAACATATTTTATTTAAAAAAGATAAACTATTTGTATTATACTTTAGATGTGGTCTCTCTCTTCTTTCTACGATATGCCTGTGCATCTTGGTATAATCCAGCCTTGAATTCTTATTAAATCCCAAGGGTTACTACCCTAAAACCAGAGACTGTACTCTTAGGCTTTTCTTTTCAGTAATACGTAAGAAAGTAATTTATATTTTTCTGTTAAAATGAGCATATACATAAATACATGCACACATGCAGATCTGTCACTGTGACAAGAGAGTAGATTTCCAAGTTTTGGCTTAATAATAGCTTCACTAGCATTCAAACCTATAAATCAAAATGTTAAGGAAAAAATAATAGGTTGAAAAGAAATACTTCACTACAAATTAAAAAACACTAATGGGATTATGAAACCCATCCAGGAACCCACCAGGAACATGCAAATGTCTTTCCTTTCTAGAATCTAGAAGCACTCAACTTAGTATTTTATGGGTTTTTTTTCTGTTTTATTGTACAAAGCCACAGATTCTAAACATAGAGACAGTACTGAACAGTAGAGAAAGCCTGTATATATTCTGATCTAGTACTAGTTTGTCTTATCTTTGTTGAAGCTTGATTCCTTACTCACAGAACAGACAGGTACCTGTGTGCTGTTCAAAGTCTTGTATTTGTACACCCACCTCCCTCAACTACAGGTAGCTGTTTCCTGGCTAGAATAACTCTTGCACTGGTAATTACAACAGCTCTTAACCTGGAAACACTGAGAGGCTGGCAACAGTCAGCATAATTTAACTTTACTATTGACTCTTAGGTTTGTGGTTTTTTAATAATCTGTTAATTATGTGATTAAAAAAACTATTCATAGATTAATTTCCTAATATATTTCTAATCCACTGTTAATTATCTATCTTTTGATGAACAAATTAAATGATTTGTATTCAAATAGAATACTGGAGTATTCCAGAGTTTAACTGGAACGCGTCAGAAAACATCCAGACTTAAACTGAGTGAAACCACAGAGAAAAATACTTAGCTTAACATCTCTGGGAAGTTTGCACTGTTCACTCACCTTATTAAAAATGTCTAAAATTAATTCCAGTTCAGCTTCTACTAATTGGTTCTTCCTTAAAGCAACCATTAGTCTATTATATATTTTTGGGCTCCTAAATACATATACATCATGAAATCATTACTCAGACCTCTAAATGAAGGAAGGAGTTCTTCAAGTGTTTTAATAACACTTGTTTTGGTGCCAGATTTCTTCTGTGGCTTTTTTAATTCAAAATCACACAAAAAAATCTATATGGTAATCCTGTGGAGTGCCAATTAACCCTTTATTTTCCCTTTCCATTTTATTTTCATCTCTGGCATATGAAACTGTCACAAAAGATTTGTAGTTAAAGATTCCGTAAAAAACAGACCTTTTTTAAAACACAGCATTTTAACTAGGAAAATACAGATTTAGAGAGAAATGTGGTCTCCTACTTATTTGCAAAGGTAAGTATTTTTAGCTTTTCTTGACTACTTTTAAAAAAAATAAATTGATTTTGCTGGTGTTTCCTTCAAGTCTCAATTGGATTGCAGCTCTTTCCATCAAACAACTCCCACAAACAACATTATTATTAATTTTTAAATTATCTCACTCTAGTTTATCTCCTGGATAAAAAGGTAATGCTAATTTAGTAACATTCTCTTCATGTAAAATATAGTAGCTCCCTTGCACAATGCATTCTGCTACTACTACTTATCATAACTGTAAAAACTTCCAGCAACGTTTATAATCTAATTATATAGGCTTGCTCATAATGTGAAAGGGAAGAAAAGTCTCATACTTACTGAGTTTGTGTTGCTGGTAAGGAACGTCTTATGATAGAATGAACTTGTCTGTAAACATCCAGCTTGGACATGCATCGGCAGGACGTGTGATTGGCAAAACTCACGGTTACAGGTTTGGGGCCATGAGAAAGAGGCACTGTGATCTCAAACAACTGCAAAAGGGAAAGCAAAGCAAAAAACTTTTTATATAGATCCATAATGGTCCAACTAAAACTAATGTAAGGATATACCAAAAAACTTATGAGGAAATTAAATTCATTCTTCTGCTCTCTTCCACCATTCAGTGGCACATTCAATTATACTGTTAAATAATTATTATGTGCAAAATTAATACAATAGCTATGGTATGACAATAAACATTTTTAGGATTAAACTCTCTTACGTGCCTGTTTGCTTACTATAACATTTAACATAAAAGTGTAAAATGTAAAAGGAACTCATTTTTCTAGGAGATGATTTCAAAAATGGTAGTCTTTTAAAAAAAATCTGAAATGAAACATTTGGAAGGTGCTTCAAAAAGCTGAAAACCAAAAATAATATAAAAAAGCAGGTAAGTTACAACCTAATACATCAATTATACAATTATAAGAGCTTGTGTAAAAAAGGAATATATTGGACTTAGATAAAACCTTTTTGGTTCAATAACTATAGAACTGCAGCATACTGTATCTTTTTAATTTTTTAGTATTTGTATCATTGCAAATTATATGCCTACCATAATGGAATGCATCTTGAACTATTAATTTGTTTTCAAGGTATTAAGAAATAACCACTACTGATAAAATAATCATGTATGTGAATTCATAAAATCCTAATTTTAGTGGGAAATATGTTTCAACTGGTAAAAAGACAACTTCAGTAATACCTTGTGGTAAACTGAACATATGATAACAGACAGTGAGACTCATTACAGTTTTCAATTCAGGATATCTACTTTCTCAAATTGAGTAGGTTTCACTGTAAGCCTCAATTATCAATAGTCTCCTGAAAAGTTAGGATAAATACGTTAGGTCAAATTCTTAAAAACTATTTTTTGTAGTGTTCTAAATAGGAAAACAGTTCACTGCTCATTTTAGGTGTTTAGTCATTCTTCCAAATATTTTTAAGAACAGTTCTGCATCTTCTGGGGACTTTACTACCTTTAAAAACATGGTCATTAGTTATTATTTCAGTTTGGGTTGATAAGACTGTATAACAAGACTTTAATTTTTAGCTGAGATCTATTTGCAATGCTCTTTTATAATCAATAACTTTATATATGGCCTATGGGCAGCATGCAAATGTAACTAAAATACTGGTAATTTTAAATGCTTCAAAATATGAAATACATCTACAGGATGTCCTAAAAACAGTATCTCGCAATGAAGTATGCAAGTGACAAGCATGCAGGTGCAGGATTATGTGATGTATTCACCAACTAAAAGGGCACTTGTGCAGCCAACAATAAAGCTCATACTATTGATAACTTAAACTATGTAACTTAAATTGTATAAAGCATCATCAACTCTAATAGATATTATCTATTTTACAAGAAAGATTTTGACATCGTTTAGTGACTGAATCCTTAAAAAAGTTTAACATTGGGAGTGTCACCATACAAGAACTGAAATGGCAAAACTAACATTGGGAGCGTCACCATACAAGAACTGAAATGGCAAAACTAACATTGGGAGTGTCACCATACAAGAACTGAAATGGCAAAACTATTACATTTCATTTTATTCTGCTACAGAAGATGACAATGCTATTATTTTTTCTGCAAAAATGTACCACATCCCTTATATAGTTTTAAATGTTGGGTTTTTTCCCTCACTAGAAGCTAAAAACGCTAATTGGTTTATGTTTACTTCTGTAGAAGACAAACAAAAAGAGAAAATAGTTTCTTCATATTTCAAATACTGGTGAAAAAACTATCCATCTAGGGTACTACCATGAAAAGAATTTCTATTATTAGAAAGACTTCTAGACAAAGTATATTAACACCTGTATTCTTGTTCCATCTGCAAAATAAGTAACACTTCTTAAAATTTTGGTCCTGAGTCATTAATAAGATAAAGGCAGAAGTCCATGTCTAGTTTAAAGTTTAGTACCAATAAAATCAATGCCTAATTATCACCAGACATACCTCCAGGTTTTTCACTAAGTTCAACAGAGACCTCTGGAAAGAGACTTTCTAATCAACTTTTTATTGTATTTATAATCTTTTTTGCCTTTCAAACCAATATTGGATCCATTATCCTTATCTATTATAAAATTTCATCTAAAATAATGACAAAAAGCATTCTTACTAAGATGCCTCATGCAAGGAGAGCAATAAACATAACACAGAACTATCATTTTCATACTAATATGCTTTATGTACTTATTAATTTCTTTTAAAAATATCCAACTATTTGAAGGCCATCACAGATTTTGTTTTAATGCACATACTAGGAAATTGGAAAGGAGGAAGGTGGTGGTGTACATAAAGAGACAGAAAGGACCATGTTTATGAAAAATAGCTTTCGTTTCTGCATACAGTATACATTTGAGAAAAATACATGCTGAGTTTTTTGAGTATGTTTTTAAGTACTGATCTTTAATCAGATGACAAAACTCATCTACATATGCCAGACTTCTACCTTTCTTGAAACAAGCTGTGCTTTCTGAAGGACAGCACAGCTGTCGAGACCTCTGAAAATCTGGACAGCTAAGAATCTACAAATGCAAAAGCTTTTATTATATTTAATATCTTCTAAGAAAACCAATTCTTAGAAGACATGTATGAATTGAAGGACAGAACAGAGAGTATGAACTTAATTACAACAGTGCACATGAAAAGAGGATCTTGTTTTTCTTGCTCTTATGACAGTATGAACTTGCTTTTCTGAAGCTGAAATGAAAACTCACTATAGGAAAAACTGATAAATCTTAGAAAATAAAATAAGCATGAGTCTTTAAACGGACCAAACTGCAGCTAAAAAAAAAAAAAGAGGATGTAGAGGATGTTCTGTTCTTCCTCTGTTCTTGCAGTAGATCAGTTTGCCATGCTGCAAGGCTTAGCAGACTTCAGACCACCGGAGATGGCAACATAAGACTATTGCTACACTTCCAACCTACCTAGAAGAGGTACATCCCTGTCCAGCTATCCTGTTCAGCTTCAGTAATCACTGAGAGAAATTTCGCAAAAACGGCTGAAACATATCAATCGTGAGTGGACATGATGGTGAACATGAATTGTCTTAATTTACATTTATCCTTCCATTTAACCTGTGAAAGGTATCAGTTTACAGATGAATATTGCTAACAATTATTCCCATCAACACCTCAGTGGTGCAATGAGACAAAGGTCTAAAACTACTAAAGGCAGACTAGATTCCCTGACCTGACTGAACTAGCTTCAGTTTGCTCAACTAAATTCTCTTAATAATAATGTATTTTACATCCCCCAATAGTTGCTACTATTCATACATGAAGTCAAAAAACTATATATAGCCAACTATTTATATTAGATATTACATCATATATAGTATCTCATTTCTAGTCCTGACTTTCGTAAAGTGCTTAAGACAATACACAAACTAGCATTTTGAAAAAGAATAGAAAACACATTTATTTTCATTTATGAAAAGGCTGGAAGTTAAATACTGGGGTTGGTATTATTGGTTTGTTCTTCTAACACTTTTGTCTGCACATGCTATTGGGAATCTATATTCTCATGTATACTGGAAAAAGAGATATTCTCCTCTTCTGATAATAAAAAACTATCAAGAAGATATTTCAAAAGAAATAAACTCTTGAAAAGTAGTCTATTACAGAAAATGTATTTAATACTAAGAATAATTCAGTTTAAATAATCTCTGGCATTTGAAAATAAGATGCTTTCTACAGAAAATCTGTATTCTGCTTTCAGCTGAGATAGTAGCATCTCTAAACTCAATGAAGCTGTTAAAGTGTAAGTGAATAACTCTCAGTATGCATAAGTTGTGTTTGAATCTTCAATTTAGGTAAAACCTCACTATGTGCAATGCTTTCTGGTTTTGCTAACATCTAATTTATTTTTTGCTTATCTTCCTCATCCAATAGAATAATAAGCTCAAAATCTGCTGTTGCTATAGGGCATGTTGGCAACATGTAACAGCCGAATGTCAATATCTAGAAAGGATATTTCTGTGAAAAATTCAATATAACATCTATGCATGAGGCTGGTTCTCGACTCTTCTTTTCTGGCAACATTGTTGGCTAGGGCTACTACTGCTGGTACCCACACTGCCCAAATGGGTAACTCTTCTTGGAGATCAAATGGCTCATATTTCTGGCTGATCCCTCATTCAGTAAACAACTGGTTTTACTGCATTCTTAGGCATCTAAATCTTCTCTTCCTTTTCAACTTAAAATCATAGTAAAAATCCAACTAATTCACACTACAGGCAAAAGGGAAAAGACATTTCCCACATATACCAATGCCTGAAGATAGACATTCAGGAAAGACTACAAAGAATGAGTTTCAGTTTCCAGAAGAACATGAGATCTGATAATATTAGGGATTAGGGCGGTTTTTCAAAGTGGAGAGCTTCTATTGCCTGCAGTCTTCAGAAAAATGTTAGTAATTATGGTACATTAAACAGCAAATTAAAGTACCTTGAATGAGTGTTGCTTGAGTTAGACAAATACTCAGAAGAAAAAAAATAGACTCAACTTGCCCATGCTGTCCTGTACCTTTTTGCTACCAACACTGCATTATCAGGAAACCAGAGGAAAGTAGAACAGAAGCAATATATGATCACATAACTAAAGAGAATTGTATCTAACAAAAAAAAAAAAAAAGAAACCAAACAAAATCACAAAGCTCTGTCTCAACTGCTCCACAGAAGCTAATAATCATAAATATGACTCAGTAACACAGTTAATCTCAGTGTATAACACATACTATCGGAAGCTCTGCGTAACTGAAGAAGAGGTGAAAACCATAAATAGTTATTAGTTATAGTGCATTTCATAAGAATTCAACTCCTGCCATTCAGCCATCTGACCACAGAAAGTCAGATGAAAGATCTTCCAGTCTTTCTGACTGTTTCTAATATTTCTCTTCAAAGTACTGTGTTCAGCCCTTGTCTCCTTAGGTCTTCATACAATTTGATAATTCTCCATGACAACCTTCCCTCATTTAAGC